TTATATAATGGATGACAATTCATGATCAAAGGTAAAATGTTGATTTGATGAAGTCAATGAAAAGTTGAAAAGTAAATGATATATTATACTGTATAACAAAAAACCAAGCCTATGTATTAAAAACATTTAATAAAGAAATACTATATTAATTTTTTTCAATTTGGAACTAAATTTCCTTCCCTCCAGATATTAATGTTTGTTTTTCAAATTTGCGTAACGATCTTCAAGCCAATAAAATTTAATTTTTGCGTGATATCTGGAAGGGAGATCGTCACATAATTTAGCCAATGAAATCAAATGTCCACTATACTATGATGATAGGAATGATTATAATGATATCAGGAAAAGGAGGAAACAAATGTGTAGTGACAAAGATTGGATATTTTTATACATAACTATTAATATACATAATGATGTGTATGTGTGGATAGTGATTAACTAAATAAAAAGATAGTAATGATAGATCCTCTCTACATTTGTTTCTAGTGATGGGTGTAAAAATTATTTTGAAAAATGACCAAGTTATTAAGTATATACTTAATAACTCTATTATTAAGTGTTAAAAACACAAACATGCAGATCTCTTATTGGTAACTGTTTAATCAAATATTAATTTGATAAACAAGTTAATAATTAATTTAGTACTGTGCATAAAATTCAGTGTGCAGTGTGTGCATGCTAACCAAATTTGATAAATTTTTTCCAAATCTGCTGAATTTGGTTAGCACAGCACATTCCACATGCTGAATTCTATACACTGGGATTGATTGACAAAATGGATCTTTTGGATTAATAACTCTCACTCAGAGTGCAATAGTTAATAAGTGGTTATTAACTATTAATAACTTGGAGTTATTAAGTGTAGGGTTAAAAATTCCCATCACTATTTGTTTCTAGTCATATATATGATTTATTATTGTGGTTAGTTATTTTTCTTCTAAATTATCCTCTGGTAATTAAAATATGGTAGACACTGTGAATCTTTTGATAAAAAAATTTTTGATCCTTTTTTTTGAATATATATATTTCTTTACATATTAATAGATAATAAAATTTTGGACTCATTATTAATATTATTTTTGAAATAAATAATTATGAATCAATTTCTATAATAAAAGTCAAAATTTTTCTAATACAACCTTCTGAGTGATTATAAACGACTTTGTAAGGAACACTTTGACACAACTATTACTTTGAGTTTGCTTTATTCTGGTGTTAGTTGGAAAAAATCTTAAAGTAAATGTGAAAAAAAGTAACTCTTGCAGCCTAGTGTAGAATAACAAATAAATAAGCTAGACTCCTATTTTAATGGCCGTTAGGAAGCCCTAGTCTGGCTCTAAGAATTTGAAAATTATTTGTGTAACGATTATGATCTGCAATGTCCTGCGACTGTTATTAATATTAATTGGTTTTGCCTTGGTTTGTTGGTTTGCTTTTTTTAATTTATTTTATCCTAGGAAAACTTGATATAGGCTTAGTAGCTAAATATAATTCACATTTTTCTTGGTACTCCTTAATTTCATTGACTAATATTTCCTTTCCCTTTAATTCTTGGACTTTTTCTTGATTAATGCTACTACTTAAAACTTCTTGAATGTTGGCTAAATATTTTATTTTTCTTCTTTACATATATATATCTTGGAATCAGGCTAAACGTATTCTTTTATCTTTCTCAATTAAATCTTTATGGTGTAAAGAAGAAATATAATCATTTGCTTGAGACATCTTATTGTAAGTTGTGTAGGTAGGACTTGTGATTCAAATGTAAAGAATTAATTTTGTGCAATAAAAGGTTATTACAATGCCCCTTTAAAATAAGATTTTTTTTCCCCTTGTATTGCATGTGCGTCTCCTTTTTATCATTAATGTACTTGTGTTACTATAAAACAATGCTGCAGAGTCATAATATGTGTTATTTTCCAAATTAAAAATTAAAAAAATTAATTTTTTTTTTCGTCATTTTGTTATATTTAAGCTTCAAAAAATCTCACCAATTCAGTAGTAATAATGACAAATCAAAACCTCATTGTTTCAACTATTTTTATACAATCACGTCAACAAAAAAATGGAAAAAGCAACATAAATAATCAAAAAAATTACACAAGTCTTTTATCTGAAGAAAATTTAAAACTTCACATAGGAATGGTATGTTATATGCGTTTGATAATATAAATATATAATAATAATATAAGAAATAATAATAATATTTATTTAAAATCAAATCAAAAAACAAAAATAAAGTTTCTTTATTTGGTCAATCGTCATTAATTATTTTTTTCAAATAAATAAATAAAATTTTTAGATGCCTTCTGCAAAGGAAACAAAAGCAAACTTAGTACTTGGTTATGTGGATCTTCAAAAACAATTAGTTACTCTCGAGGCTCAACTTCGTAAAGAAGCTGAAGTAGCTCAGGAAAAATTTAATTCGCTATTACCTGAAAACACCCCTTCTGTTATACCGGAAATTATAAATATAAATTCAATACCGCTTATACCAAATCATATATCATTACCTTTAACAATTGAAAATGAGGACAATAATTCCTACACATTGGCAGATAATTCTTATAAAGCTTCACCAAATACAGTAGAAGAAATACCAACACTTTTAGATTCTTTAATTAAAAGTAAAAAAAGATCACAACGTTTAAAATTTATTATCAAAGAAACAGCAAAAAAAATTACATTAAAAAAAGATAATTCATTAAAAGATGATGATAAAGATGATGATAATGGTGACGCTGGTGACGCTGATTATGATGATGATGATGATGATGATGATGATGGTAATGGCAATCATAAAAGCTCCAACTCTTATCATTATGATAAAGATTTTCAATCGTTGCGTGTAGAACCATCAGTACCTCCTTCACCATCACAATCAACAGTTAGATCAAAAATGTCATCGTCAAAGCAAAAAGCACCCCTTAAAAATATATTTATTTCGGCGAATCCTAAACCACCACATCAAAGAAACAATAGCGGTGATACGACGAATACTTTTTATTTACAACAAAATAGTCCTACTTCATCTATTCATAATAATCCAACTTATACCTCATTACAAAATTCTCCATTTCCGCCTTCAACACCAATGACTTGTAATGCACCACACAATTCATCACCTTTGTTAAATTCAACACCGTCTTCACCTAACCATGAAAAATCTGAAATTGATGCTTATAAATCTGTGTCAGAAAATCGTGATAGTGGTATATCTTTTGTTTCACCTGGACGTAAATCTGGTAATCATTCAAGAGAGCATTCAATTTCATCTTTATTAAGAAAAATAGGAACTTTTCATAATTTTAATAAAGATAACCATAGTCAAGATGAAACTCGCAAAGAAAAAAGTTGGGGAAATATATCTTCTATGGTAATTGGTTATAAGGATCCAAATTCTGAATTATTAGCTTTTAGGTATCCAAGTTCAAAGGATGTATATAACATTACAGGCGATTTCGTTGGGGGAGAGGAAAATGATAATAGTAACGGCGATGATATTATTGTTGGTGGTGTCAGTAGTAGTAGTGAGAATAGTAATAATAGCAGTGGTAGTAGTGGTGCTGCTATTGGTGGTGGTTGTGGTACTGGCAGTGAGAATTTATTTATGACTAATATTGATAATTCAACATTAAAAATTAAAGAACGTTCAGTAACTTTTGAAGATCTACAAGTAACTAATTTTGAAGATTATTATACAGCGCCGGATGTTGTAGAATGAGAATAAAAACTGCACATACACACGAACATTATCTCCTCTCTTAATTTCAACTATTTAATTAATTAATAATTTTTATTATCATTTTCAATAACAAAATTTTTTGTATATTATTTGGTGGATTTAAATTTTCTTTTAATGTATATTAATATTAATTCAGTTATATAAATATTAATTGAAAATGAAAAACAAAATTTTTTAAGAACAATATTTAATATCAAATTTTTTTGTTGTACGCTTTTGTTAGCAACATTCTTTGAATAATAATAAATAATAATTAGTTCTTCATAAGAATAGAAGATACGTTATATTTATTACGTGTATTATAAATTTTTATTCAGGAGGGGAATAATTTAATATGTGAGCTTTTCTAGCAAAAACACCCTTCAATCCATCTGATCAAATTAGTGTTTTTTACATAATATTAATCTATAACATAAAGATTATAATAATTGGCAAACCCGGTTTGCTTAAAAAAAAATGAAGAATTGTAGGCTTAATTTGTACGCGATCTACATACCCCTTTTTATTGTTACACACAATAATTTAAATAAAAGTCTTTTTATTCAAACATAGTGATGGGTGTAAAAATTATTTTGAAAAATGACCAAGTTATTAAGTATATACTTAATAACTCTATTATTAAGTGTTAAAAACACAAACATGCAGATCTCTTATTGGTAACTGTTTAATCAAATATT